CCCCCTTGCCAAGATGAAATCTTGGGTTGAAATAAAAATAAAGAATGATGCAAATTAGAGCAATTGGGTTAAAAAAAAGAGAGAGAGAGACATCATTGAAAGTGATTATGTTTATTTGTTGAGGTTGTTTATAAACAGTTTTTAAAAGCATATGTTAATATATTTTAGATTTTTTTTTTTTTTTTTTGAGACAGAGTCTCGCCACCACGCCCGGCCTAGATTTTTAAATTAATTGGATAACAAATGTGATAATAAGTGTAAAATTTTCTTCTTTAAAAAGAATGAAGGGCAGGGTGTGGTGGCTCACATCTGTAATCCTAGCACTCTGAGGGGCCAAGGCGGGAGGATTGCTTGAGCTCAGAAGTTTGAGACCAGCCTGAGCAAGAGCAAGACCCCATCTCTACTATAAACAGAAATAAATTAGCCAAACAACTAAAAATAGAAAAAAGAAATTAGCCAGGCACGGTAGTGCGTGCCTGTAGTCCCAGCCACCCAGGAGGCTGAGGCAGGAAGATTGCTTGAGCCCAAGAGTTTGAGGTTGCTGTGAGCAAGGCTCATACCAGGCCACTCTAGCCTGGGCAACAAAGTGAGACTTTGTCTCAAAAAAAAAAGAATGAGAAAAGGCCACATGCAGCAGGTCACACCTGCAATCCTAGCATTTTGGGAGGCTGAGGTGGGAGGATCACTTTAGGCCAGGAGTTCAAAACCAGCCAGAACAAAAGTGAGACCCTGTCTCTACAAAAAACAGAAAAATTAGCCAGGCGTGGTGGCGTGCACCTGTAGTCCCAGCTAGTCAGGAGGCTGAGGCGGGAGGATTACTTGAACCCAAGAGTTTGGGTTGCTGTGAGCTAAGCTGACAACACTGCACTCTAGCCTGGGAGACAGAGCAAGACCCTGCCTAAATAAATAAATAAAATAATTAGAGAAGTTAAAAATCATAGTTTAAGTAAATCAATTAAATATCAACTTTCTCTTCATGTATATTCATAGATTTCTCCCCATATGAGTTCATGGTTTAGAAGTTACAGATATAAAAGAAGCTAACAATCTTTCTAAGCACATGAGGAAAAAAATTAATTCTGTTTAAAGATGAATCCAGGTAATTTTTTTATTTCTTGAGACAGGGTCTTCCCCCCCCCATCCCCCATAGAGACAGGGTCTCACTATGTTGCTCAGGCTGGTCTTGAACTCCTGGCCTCAAGTGATCCTCCCACTTTGGCCTCCCAAAGTACTGGGGTCACAGGCATGAACCACTGTGTGCCGCCAAAGCCAGGCAATTTAAGTGGTTTTCATCAGGTACTCATTGTGACAATCTTTAAAACTGTGTAAGTTAATATCTATTTCTTGAATGATTTAACTATAACTCTGAACAAGTGCAAAATTGGCTCCAAAAAGAAAAGCCGCTTAATGCACAGAAAGTGCTCCTTCAGCAGCTAGTGACTGTCCTTGGTGTCGGGGTTGAGAAAATAAGTTGAAGATTCTTAGTATGTAGCCTGCTGTACACACGGATATGTTTTCTTTTTACACTGCTACCAGTAATGCTGAATCATTCCTTTCCGAAGCCAAAGAGATCTTTTTAAACTTTAACCATATTTTAAATTTCAACCATTTTTAAGTTTAAAAAAAAAAAAACCCTACATTTAAAGTGTAGGGTATTTTTATGTTAATATATTCTCAGTTTTCAAGTTATTTTGGAGCTATGACTCTTCTTCAAACACTATTTTGGCCTGGGTGACAGACACTGAGCGCTGATTTACGTACATCCCAAGCATACAGTCAGGCGGGTGAACATGACTAGGCACGGGTGCTCCTCGGGTCACTGAAGAGCAGGCGTTATTTGTGAAGTCATAAAACCATACTCCAGTATTCTGGTGGACAGGCTGCTTTGTTCTGCTACCCAACGCGTAATGAAAAGGAGAATATTATGATGATGTCAGAGGGCATCCTTTTTTCAGACCCTTAGTAGTTTTCTTTCAAGTGTGTTCTTTTGTGGACAGAATTACAGCAGTCCATGTAATCATGAGGCACAGGGCAGAGCACTAAACAGTATCAGGCCAGGTCAAAACGCAATCCGGCTGAGAGAAGAAATAACTAGGAAAAAAAGTGAATTAATTCATCTTCTTGATTTCACACACCTTCAGGCAACACAGCTCACTTGCATTATTGCCCTAGCAGTCAGCATCTAACCTGGACAGGAAGGTAGCAACGTTGTTGGGTGCTGATTCTGGAAAACGAAATGACTTGCACAGACTGAGCCATGTTGCTACACTGCAAATTACTAACGTTCAACTTGAACTTAGCATAGTAGTTTTCTGTTGACGTTCCCTTAAACCGGTCCAATTATTTTTAAATGAATCCTATTTGTTGAAAGAGCCTAGAAATAAGCCAAAGATTTCTTTTGGCTTTATAGGTATAATGCAACAAAATCATTTATTATACATACCTGATAATGAACAAAACTTCCTTGTGAAAAATCAAAGCACTCACAAAATACGTTTTTCAAAAATTACTTCTATATGATATTATCATTGGAATACCTCAGTTTGCACAATTATTTTGAATCTACTTTTCAAACAGGAAACATTACTTGAATTGATATAGCTCATTCAAGTAATACTCCCAAATAAAGTGCATACCATATTTAAAAGATGAATATAACAGGTCTCACTATCAAATAATCGTGTATAATGATTATTTTATTACCCCAAGATACATTTTTATATAACTGTATTTGTCAGTTTATTAGAACCTTAAATTGAATTTTATTTATGCTAAATGCAACTCAAAATAAATATATGAATAAGTATCATTTGGTAAAACTAATGCTGATTTCTTGAGTAACTGGCAACAACAACAAAAAATAATCCTGATAATTTTTTTTCTTCTGATATCTTTGGTATGAACCTGATAAATCAACCTCCTGCTATATAAAACACAACTTGCTTTAAATTTTTAAAAAATTATTATAGGAAAAATTGGTATTTGCATTACTCTGCATTAAGAAATCACTGTTACATTATTCCTACAAAACATTTTTTCTCATTTTCTTCATTACTGCCGGTGAAATTAACCTAGGTAGTTCTTTTTAATTGTAGTGACTTCTTATACTTCCTAATTTTCTTAGTCTTTCTCTGACACTAAACAATATTGACTGGTAAATCCTTATAAAGGTGTATCTTCCTCCAGTATAAAATGATTCTTTCCTAAAATATTATGTCATGCCCACTCTATGTTAGGCTTTATGTTAAAGACTTTGGATGCAAAGTAAATTAAGACAGATTCCTTGCCTTTAGAGCTCATGGCAAAAGACAAATGCATTAAGGTTTACTATGAAGGGTAAGAGCAATGACACAGAAATATCCCTATAAGGGTTGTTTAAATCAAGCAGGAAGGTCAGTTAACAGTTGACATTTCATGAAATTAAGTCCATCCTCTTTATCAAGGTGATGGCTTAACACTGTCTGGTCTGCACATCCCTGTCTTGGTATAAAGCAGGTGCCAAGATGTAGACAGCATCAAAACATCTCTGAGAATTACATTCATCATCCTGTTTCCTCACTTCCCAAGGTTTAGCATCACTGCATTTAAACATGTCAGTATAAGACTTAACTCTAAGTTCGAAAATATAAACTAGTCCAACTGTTGTTAAGACTAGATATGTACACAGTAAAACATAAACTAGAAGTTTACAGCCTGATACAAAAAAATTAGATTGCAATTGGAATTTTTAACCACATGTACTATATTTATTCTTTGGTAGTTAGGCATCCAAATAACAATAAGACATATCTGAAAGTATAAATATTTACCATATTATATACTAAATTAGAAGCCAAGTTGATTAGATTTGTCAAACATCACGTCTTTTAACTGTAACAATGTAAAACAAGACCCCCCTAAAACCAAACTTACATTATAAGAAAAAGATTTTTGATAATATTCCACACTAAATGAAAATTAACATTTAAAATGCCAAGATGCACCTAAAAATAAAGACTTGTCACATAGAAAAGCAGTATATACATACATTTAAATTTACAACTGGTTACTTGCTATCCTGAGTGCCTCAAGAACCAGGTAAAACCAACTGACTTCCTGAAACAATATGTATGTTCTTAAGAGTGCTTGATAGGAAATCAAAGCACATTTCATTGTTTTCTCCCAAGACCTTAGACAGGATTTAAAAGAAGCCAAATACCAAAAGACTAAAGAGGACAAATGTTATACCTGGCCCATTTGCAATATTCTGGCTTTATAAATACATTTTAACCAGAAAAGTCTCATTTGAATATATGAGCCACATATTTGATATATACACCATTCTTTCAAACCATTTATAGGTGAGTTCAATTTTTCATGGTCAGGGTGACCTCATAAGACTTGGTTATGGCCCAGCCTAGCTCAGAGGTGAAAAATCAAGGCGGTGGGATCACCCTGCAAAGTTGTTTTTCTCCTGCAGCTGGATGACAAGCAAGACCAGAGCCAAGGAGAATGAAGACTGCCCAGCCTTTGTCAAATGGGATTGGCGAGGAGTTCCCTCTCTCACCAAGGAGTGGTTACATTCAGCAGAAAGCTGAGGTCCTGAAATTGTGGGTCCTCAGGCACAAACCTCATCACCTTTGTGGATTATGGGACTGTCGCTGAAAACTGAGTTTGAAATAACAGCAGTTTCCAGAAGTTTGATTTACACATTCCAACCCAGTTGAATGTCGCCTTGGAGTGCTGGTACTTGAAGATTCTTACGAATCTCCCTCCCCCACAGGCTAAACAGCCATTGCCTTCCAAATTCCAGCTTATACATTCATTTCTTGGGCAATTTTTCTCTTGGGGGTGGGGGGGAAACAATGGGCTCTTTCAACCTTCTCTTATCAACAAAGGGCCCTAAGATGAAAAGCAGTCCTTTCAATCGCATCCTTTCCGACTTCTTAATAAGGATGAGAGGGCCCTGGAGGTAGGGGGAGTGAAGGCCCGGGGAGGGGGAGAGGTGACAGGCAACTCACCTCTTTCAGCTGCTCCAGCTCCTGTTTGAGGCTGTCGTACTCTGCCTCCAGCTCGTCATACTGCTGTTTGAGGGTCAGCTTCTCTTCCAGGACCACCAGCCCGTACTCGGCAGCCTGGATCTTCTCGTGGGTGGTCTCTGTGAGCTCCTTGGTCAGCCTCTCTATCTCAGTCTTATAGTGGTCCACCGTCTGCAACACCTCTTCTGCGGCCATAGCCCCGGCGGAGGGAGGCGGGAGGGGGTGACGGGGCAGGGGAGCTGGATGCAAAGCGGGCGGGGGGCCAGGGAGAAGGCAGTGGGGAGGGAGGGGTGACAACGGGAAAGAAAGTGAGGCTGGAGGAAGGGCAGCGCAATGCCCTGCAGGCTCTGCTGGCAGCGGCAGCTACCCTGCCCGAGGCGCCGAGGAGGAACGCAGCATGGAGAACGCAGGGCAGCGGATCAGGCTCGGGGCGGCAGCTGCTGCCGCATGGGTCCTCCTCCGGGCCGGCCCCTGCGTGCGCTCAGCAGCCGTGCGGCATGGCCTGGGCTGCCGGGGCCGGGGGCGGCGAGGGGCTCGGGGTCCTGCTTCCAATTCAGAGGCGCCCGGCCGCCGCCATGTCTCCAGGGCCGCGTCACTGCAGTCTTCCCCCGGGTCCGCGCGCTCCGCTCGCAGCTCGCCCGCCCGCCCGCTCCACCTGCTCGCTCTGGCCCTGCTGCAGCCGGTGCGGAATGGTGCAGTCTCGGGCCGGCTCCCTCCCTTCCCGCCTGGCCGCGGCCCCGAGCGGGGGGCGGGGAGCGGATGGAGTCAGCGCGGGGGGAGGAGGCGAGGACCAGACGGGAACGTCCCGAGGCGCCTCCCGCCGGGCGCGCGGGGCCGCCACCGCCCGCTGCTCCGCGGGGCGCGCGCGGCGCAGGCAGCGGGGCCGGGCCGGGCCGGGGAGGGGGACCGGCGCCCCAACCTGCTCGCGGGCGGCGGCGGGCGTCCCTCCCCGGGCTTTGTCGCGACGGACGTCGAAGCCCCCCAAGAGTGGCGTGCGCGCCCCGGCCCTCTCGCAGCGCCCAGGGCCGAAGCTCGGGAAACTGCCTGGAATGGGCGCCTCCTTCCGAGAAAAGCAAACAAAACTACCCGGGTGCGGGCCCCGCGCGTCCTCCTCGCGCCCTGGGCGCGCCGCTGCCTTTCCCGACCACCTGCAGCCCAAAGAAGGCTGGGTCTCCGAGGCCTCCCCGACGCGCCTCCTCCGCCTTCCCTCTCGCCCCCAGCCGCTCCCTGGCCTGGCCTGGCCTGGCCCACCTGGCACTCTCAGCAAATAACCTCCCTGCCCCCTCTGACAGTCTTCGCTAAATATTGCTCGCCCTCGCCCAGCTATCACAAGATCCCTGTCTACTCAGAAAATTACCTCTGTTTAATGCATGCACCCAGTAAACCTCGAGGTACCGTATTTCTTGTGCCAATAGTTATTCCATCAAAACACCTTACTCCACGGAAGACTGCATGAAATTCCCTTTATAAGGTATCAGCAATACCCTACAATAAGCATTTTTTCAATAATAAGAGCTAAGAGTTCTTGAAACCAGGTACCAAGCATGCGACTGTGTATGTTACATGCATTCTCATCAATCCTAACAACTGAACCTTTGAGGTAGGAACTATTATCCCCAATTTACAGGTGATGAAAGAAAGGTACAGGAAGGTTGGGCGATTTGCCCAAAGTCAGATAACTCTTAGGTGATGGAGTCAAAATTTGAATCATAACTCCGGAGCCCTAAACTGGATCATTTATGTTGGCATCATCTTAACTCATAACTAATAATGCAAACCCAGCAACTAAATATTAGATGCTTGTAAGGTAATCACAGTAATCAACATGAAGAGCGATGATGAGGAGTCACAAAAGGAGGTGAAAGTAATGTGGAAGGAAGGAAAGAGTGGGGAAGAGATGAGAATCGAGAACCATCAAGAAGAAAGGCACTAGGAAGGGGGAAGGAGCAATTTATGTGTTAAGGACAGGCTGTGGGACCCAGGAGATCAATGGTTCTCCCCAGTTCTTTCACTCTCTCCTCCTGGGTGGTACTTATTCCAGAGCCATTTGTCAGGGGCCAGCTGTACAACACACACAAGTTTTCTGAGTTAGAAAGCTGGACCCAACTCTCCCATCACTATGTACATGATAAAGAAAAAACACAATTGCTGATGGTTTGGAAAGGAGAGCGAAGGACAATGCCCTTACAAAGCTTCCATTAACGGGCTGTCTGGATGTGCTTTTCATTGCTTCAGAAAACAGACGAAAAAAAAAAAAATTCCTTCCAAATGCTGACAGTCGCAACAGAATATTGTCTTGTGATTATCTGACCTAAAAACAAACAAACAAAAAAAAAACCCAGAATATTCTCTAGTGATTGTCTGATCCAAAAATAAATAAATGAGAAAACGCTCAAAACGCGCAGTGCAGCCACCATGAATTCCCACCTCACAAGAGAAGCAGGAATGATGATCACTATATCATTCCACCAAGGTTTCCTTGATCTCCAACTCCATTTGGGAAGCCCCTCCTGTGGCACCTGCTTTCTATCACCCCGATGAATGATCAGGAACCGCTGAAGAGAAAAGAGACAAAACTTGTCATTGCAGGTACCTAACCTGCTTTCTTCCTGGAATGTTCCGGACTCCACCAACTGTAAGCATAGTCCTTCCAAAGCGATCATAATACTTGGAGTAGACTGCCTGGGTCTCCCTCTCCTTGGCTAGAACTAAGAGTGGAGTTTGCCTCTGTGACTTTCCTTTTTTTTCTAAGTTTCCACTGTGGCCCAGCCCCTATGCTTTGTCCTTCCCCACTTTTCTGGTTGATACATTTTTGTTAACACATTCAGTGTGACTGCGTTCAGGCAGGTACTTACAGCACACTATTCTAACACTTTAAGACTTTGCTTAGTTCAACTTTGATCCTATATGTGATGGTACTTAACCTGAAGCAGGTAAACTTATTTCCTTATGCACCATACTTTACATATATAGAGAAAGAAAGCAATGACAGGTATATAGAAAATAATTCCTGAAACCATTCTTAGAAGCAGGGTTCCCTCATTTTTCTTCATCCTAGCAGCCTTCAGTTACTTATGGAACTTTATTACAAATGTCTAGGAAAAAATGTATTCTGTGATGTAGTACCTCAAAAACCAACCTCTCATCCACTTTGTCTGCATGAATATTGTTTTCTCTTGCTATCAGTCATTCATTCACTATTTAAACATGTTTATTAATCACCCATTATGTACTAGCTACAATGGTAGGCATTGTGAAATCAGTGACCAATCAGTGAAATTGGAAGGAATTTTTTTGTTGTTGTCTGTTTTCTGAAGCAATGAAAAGCACATCCAGAGAGCCCATTAATGGAAGCTTTGTAAGGGCATCGTCCTTCGCTCTTCCTTCCAAATCATCGTTGTGAAATCAGCCACTGATGACAGTGGCAATGACTCTTGACATCTTGGAGTTTATATTCTGGGATAGACAGACAAAATAAACAAAAAAACAAGCAACAACAACAACAACAACAAAAAAAACCCCAAAAAAGATAGATTTCTAAATAATTCCAAATTGTGACATTGACAGACAAGATATAACATAGTGGTTAAGAGTCCAAGCTAGTCTTCTTGGGTCCAATCCAGCTGTGCCACTTACTAGCTGTGTGTTTCTTAATTGCCTCATCCTTTAAAAGGGGATGATAATTTAATCTCCTAATGAGACTGTTGTGAATAGAACATTATCTAACACCTAAGTAATATATATATGGTTTTTTTTAAGTTTTTGGTAAAAAAAAAAAAACAAGGATAAGATTAAGATAGAAGAAAGAACAGGATGATCAATGGAGATCTCTCTGAAGAAGTGATATTTACTCCATTATCTAAGCAACAAGGAGTGATATATGCAAAATGTGGGGGAAGAGCTTTTCAGGTGAAGGAAATAACATGTGTCAAAGCCTAAGGCAGAGAAGAGCATGGTGAGTGCGAAGAATAAAAATCAGAGAGGCTGAGGATTCATACGCAAAATGGGGGTGGCCCAAGACTATACCAGAAGACAGGCAATGCCAGAAAGATAGGTGGGGATTATGCCTGCCCTGCAAGTCAGAATGAGGAATTGGGGTTTTATTCTCAGGGTACCGGGAGGCCTTACATTATCCTTTAGTCAGGAAATTAAATGATTTATTGTATTTTAAGGATATCACTGCGGCGTGCAAAAAGTTTGAAGGTATCAAAGGAGTCACTAGTTAGGAAACTGTTATAGTTGCCTAGGAAAAAAAAATGGTGGCCTAGCCTATGGGGATACCTGTAGGGGAAAGAATTGGGTGGATTTGAGATACACTGAGGGGGAAGTGGAAAGCGAGGGGGTAGGACTCTCAAGACCTGGTTGAAGATTGAATGTGGGATAGGGAGGAAAAAAGGAATCGTGAATAAAGTCTGATTTACTGATTTGGGAAGACAGTTTGCCATTTAGTTAGAAAGGACAGTTTCGACCAGGTGCGGTGGCTCACGCCTGTAATCCTAGCACTCAGGGAGGCCCAGGCAGGCGGATTGCTCAAGGTCAGGAGTTCCAAACCAGCCTGAGCAAGAGTGAGACCCCCGTCTCTACTATAAATAGAAAGAAATTAATTGGCCAACTAATATATATAGAAAAAATTAGCCGGGCATGGTGGTCCATGCCTGTAGTCCCAGCTACTCAGGAGGCTGAGGCAGAAGGATTGCTTGAGCCCAGGAGTTTGAGGTTGCTGTGAGCTAGGCTGACGCCACGGCACTCACTCTAGCCTGGGCATCAAAAGCGAGACACTGTCTCAAAAAAAAAAAAAGTTGAGTTGAAGAGGGAAAGCCAGGCCAGCGTGGTGGCTCATGCCTGTAATCCTAGCACTCTGAGAGGCTGAGGCAGAAGATCGCTTGAGGTCAGGAGTTAGAGACCAGTCTGAGCAAGAGCGAGACCCTGTCTCTACTAACAATAGGAAAATTAGCCAGGAGTGGTGGTGCACATCTATAGTCCCAGCCACTCGGGAGGCTGAGGCACTGAGGCAGGAGGATTGAGGTTGCAGTGAGCTAGGAAGACGCCACTGCACTCTAGCCAGGGCATTAGAGCGAGACTTTGTCTCAAAGAAAAAAAAAAAAAGCCAGCAAAGAAACCTGAGAGGGAGCAGTCAGGGTGGTGGGAGGAAAATCAGTGGAGAAATATTTGAAAGGGAACAAAACAGAATAGCTTATGAGGAGTGAGGGGGATGAGGACCAAGTCAATGCTACCAAAAGGTCAAGGCCAGATAGGATAAGGACACAAAATGTCACTGGATTTGGCAACATGGAAGTGGGTCCTCTTGACAGGAACAGTTTGTGTGGAACAGAGAAGGCGGAAACCAGATTGAAGTGGATTGAAGTATAAAAAGAAGTTTAAGGTGTGGAGACAAGTCCATGCCCCCAGAAATGATGGAAGGGAAACGTGCGATGAGAAGTGGATCTGCGGTGCATTGCGGCACTCTGCTGTGAACAGCTGGTAGGAAACCCACCCTTGAAGAGCACCGCACACGCTGACAGCTCCAGAGGCACCCTCAAGGGTGTGGCTTTCCCATCAGTGACTTCTGGGGCCAGGACTTGATCTCCAAGCTGCTCAGATAACAGGCCTCACAACAGCTGCCCTGCCTAGATTGCCGAGCACTTCTGGGACCCAGCCCTGGGGATTGCTTCCCCAGCCCTGTCAGT